GCACAGAGAGATTAAGTAAATTGGACAAAATCCTATCTCCAGTAAACAGTTTGTTCAGGATTCCAACCCAGGCACTGTGGCTAAGCCCATGCTCTTCACCACCACTACTTTATTTGCATAATTATCCCTAAGGATAAATGCACCTACTCATACTTCAGCCAAGTCATCTCACACCTGTAATTATGCATAGAAACATATCATTACTCAGATGCTAGTCATACCTAACATTTGTACAGTAATTTCTTAACAAATCACTTTTATGCCTAGATACAATGCCCACTGAAGAACGGATTGTTATCCCTTCACAGGTTGTAATTAAGGCTGCCATTTACTGACTCAACTGAGGCTCAGTTATTGGCTGGAAATTTCATCTTCTCTCTTCTTATTTTCTTTAAATAAAAGTAAAAAATGCTTAGTGTAAAATTGAAACTGTACAAAGAGAATAAAGTGAAAAGTTAAAGTCCCCCCCAACTTCCTCCTGTTATTCCCATTTCCATAGGTAACACTGTCAACAGTTTTTTATATACCCTTTTGGAAATTGTCAGCGCACACAGAGGCAAACAGTATTAAAGATTATACGTGGTTTCATAAAGAAGATGTGGTACATATATACAATGGAGTACTACTCAGCCATAAGAAAGAAACAAATCCTACCATTTGCAACAACATGGATGGAGCTGGAGGACATTATGCTCAGTGAAATAAGCCAGGCGGAGAAAGACTAATGCCAAATGATTTCCCTCATTTGTAGAGTATAACAATGAAGCAAAACTGAAGGAACAAAATGGCAGTAGACTCAGAGACTCCAAGAATGAACTAGTGGCTACCAAAGGGGAGGGGTGTGGGAGGGCGGGTGGGGAGGGAGGGAGAAGGGGACTGAGGGGTATTATGTTTAGTACACATGGTGTAGGGGATCAGGGGGAGAATGGTGTATCACAGAGAAGGGACATAGTAGATCTCTGGCAACTTGCTGCACTGATAGACAGTGACTGCGTTGGGGTATGGGTGGGGACTTGATAATATGGGTTAATGTAGTAACCACATTGTTTTTTCATGTGAAACCTTCATAAGAGTGCATATCAATCATACCTTGATAAAAAATTTTTTAAAAAGATTATACGTGGTTTCTAATCCTTGCAACAAAATCCTTGTGAGGAAGCTCTGGTTCTCTACTTCTACAGATGGAAAAAATACTCTTAAAAGTAGGGTAACTCTCCAAGGTCACCCAGGTATTAAGTAGGGAAGTTCAGTTGCCAGTCCAAGCCTTCCTGACCTGGACCCTGGGTCCCCCATTCCCTTTTCCTCAAGGCCTGTAGCCTTCCCCATCCTGTGCTGGTACTATGATGGCCAACGGAATTGAGAGAGCAGTTCTGTCAGTCCCAGAAGCAGGCCACTACTCTGCAGCTCCAGGCTTTTAGGGCCCCTTCTGGCAACCCCCTCTAGGAAGAGTGGACTGGGCTGAGCCCTCCTCAGGGGGAGGGCGGGCAGCAGGCCTGGGAACTTTATTGAGGCAATTGCAAGGTTCACATCAGCCTAGGGATGCCTCCCAGGATGCCCTTCTCTCTGGGGGTCCCAGAAAGAAGAGGGACCTTTATATGAGAACACTAGCCCTACACCCCTGCTCTGGCAGGGGGCTAAGAAGGAGCAAGGAAAGTATTATTTTATACCCAGGTATGAGGGAGTATGAGAGAGGCTCTAGACAACCCCTGCTCCCTGGTTAAGCTTTCAGAAGGACCCCCAGACCTATCCTCAATTCCACTTTTGCACAGAGCCTGCAGGGTAGGGACCTCAGGAGATGTGAATTGCTAAGGTTTAGCCATAGCTGCTGGGGATTTGGAGACTTTTTCAAGTGGCTGGGCACAGGGGACATTCTGACCCAGGTGACTTGGGCTGTCCCAGTGAGGTCTGCATGTCTCAGGCCTGCAACCCAGTTCTCACATTTCCATTCTATTTATTTATTTATTTATTTATTTACTTACTTACTTACTTATTTATTTTGATATTGTTAATGTAGAATTACTTGAACAACATTATGGTTACTAGACTCCCCTATTATCAAGTTTCCCCCACATACCACTACAGTCACTGTCCATCAGTAGTAAGATGCTATAGAATCACTACTTGTCTTCTCTGTATATACTGCCTTCCCCATTTCCCCACCCCCCCTACTTTATGTGTGCTAATCATAATGCCCCGTTTTCCCCCTTGTCCCTCCCTTCCCACCCATCCTCCCCAATCCCTTTCCCTTTGGTAACTGTTAGTCCATTCTTGGGTTCTGTGTTTCTGCTGCTGTTTTGTTCCTTCAGTTTTTTCTTTGTTCTTATACTGCACAGATGAGTGAAATCATTTGATACTTATTCTCTGCCTGGCTTATTTCACTGAGCATAATCCCCTCTAGCTCCATCCATGTTGTTGCAAATGGTAGGATTTGTTTTCTTCTTATGGCTGAATAACATTCCATTGTGTATATGTACCACATCCTCTTTATCCATTCATTTACTGATGGACACTTAGGTTGCTTCCATTTCTTGGCTATTGTAAACAGTGCTGTGATAAACATAGGAGTGCATATGTCTTTTTCAAACTGGGTTGCTGCATTCTTAGGGTAAATTCCTAAGAGTGGAATTCCTGGGTCAAATGGTATTTCTATTTTGAGTTTTTTGAGGAACCTCCATACTGCTTTCCACAGTGGTTGAACTAGTTTACATTCCCACTAGCAGTGTAGGAGGGTTCCCTTTTCTCCACAACCTCACCGATATTTGTCATTGTTTGTCTTTTGGATGGTGGCGATCCTTACTGGCGTGAGGTGATATCTCATTGTGGTTTTAATTTGCATTTCCCTGATGATTAGTGATGTGGAGCATCTTTTCATGTGTCTGTTGGCCATCTGAATTTCTTCTTTGGAGAAGTGTCTGTTCAGATCCTGTGCCTATTTTTTTATTGGATTATTTGTTTTTTGTTTTTTGAGATATGTGAGCTCTTTATATATTTTGGCACATTTCCATTCTTATATGGAATCTGGAACATGGACTAGAGCCAGGCAGCAACACACCCTTCCCCAGGCCTCAGGGAGACACCCTTTGGAGCCAGTCCTCAGTGAGGTGCCCCCTTCTATCTGACTAAGAGAGAGCTTGCATCGGGGATCCCTGAGGTCAGTACTCAGTGGAGGGAGAGAAAGCCAAATGCTGGGCCAGGAGGAGCCTGAGAATTTGAGGATATGGCTCTGTTCCTGGCTTGGCTTCTAACTGACAAGGATTTTGGACAAGTCACTTCCCCACTCTGAGCCTCAGTCTGCCTATCTGTAAAATATGAGAGTTGGACTTAATTTGGAATCATGGGAATCTGGGAAGGAGCTTGGGTGAGTGGAGCTGGCAGTGGGTGTTTTGCTTTTTGAATTGAGCAAGATCTCTCTGGGAAACACTGTGGAAGGTAGGGATCCCAAAAGGATATTATTGGTCAAGAGGAAAGGATCCATGTATGTTTGTTGTGCTTTAATGACTGTACATGTGACTTATACACACGTATACAGGGGCATGGGTATATGTGTAGGGTTGTGTGTGTGTTTGTGTACAGCAGCTAATTGTTCCCTTCCTCCCAGTTGGGATGGGGGAAGGGGCTGAGAAGACAGTCACTCATTAGGAGGCAGCTAATGGGCCCAAATGGCCATGTCAGCAAAGGCTGAGCTCAGATGACTGGCCTCCCTGAGGGGGGAGGGGAGAGATGTGAAATAAGAAGGGGAGGGAGAAGAGAACAAAGAGGGGAGGGAGCAGGAGGGGGAAAGAATGAAGTTTCCCAGGAGGAACTAAAGATTGGCCTTGTCCTGACTTTGTCCCCATTAATAAACACTCCCACCTGCAATAAAAAAAGCTCCCATACCAGAGAAGGGGAGCAGTGGAGAAGCTGGTGGGGGAGGGAAGGAAAACACACCTGTGTTACTGCCCCACAGACACAGGTGTACCAGCCTGTACTCAGGCTCACATGGTCTGAGACATGAGGACACACACTGCTTAGCATACACTCTCAACACTCATCCATGCACGTGGGGGTCATGGGCTCCCCCGTGGACAGGGCCCTTGGGCACAGAAGTGTGGGCACCTGTGCATGAGAGAATGTACCTATGTATTCACCCAAGGATTCTGGCCCTGTGTTAGGTATGAGGGAGACAGAAATGAAGAGGACACAGTCCCTGGCCCCTGGCCCCCAGTTGATATTTCAGTGGGAGAGGGGGCAGTACTAAGGAAACAGACCGTCCATGTGGTGTGACACGTGCTGCACACAGACACACCTCTCAGGATCCTTTGGGGAATCATCTTTTCCTGGAGTCATTTTATTTTTTAAATTATTTTAATTTTTTTATTAAAGTATCATTACTATACAATCTTACCTTGGTTTCAAATACACAACACAGTGGTCCAACAGTTACCCATATTATCAAATCCTCACCCTTGCTACCTATCAACGTAGCAAGATGTTACAGAATCATTAACTATATTCTCCGTGTTGTACTACAGTCCCCATGACAAACCTATATTGTGATTGCGAATTATTGTGCCTCTTAATCCCCTTCCAACATCCTCTCCAACCCCTCCCCCTTGATAACCACTAGTTCCTTCTCTCGTGTCTGTGAGACTACTGCTATTTTATTCCTTCTGTTTTGTTTTTTTACTCCACAAATAAGTGAAATCATTTGGTATTTGTCTTTCTCTGCCTGGCTTATTTCACTGAGCATACTACCTTCTAGATCCATCCATGTTGTTGCAAATGGGAGGGTTTGTTTTCTTTTTATGGCTGAATAATATTTCATTGTGTATATGTACTACATCTTTTCTATTCATCTATATGATGGACACTTAGGTTGCTTCCATATCCTGGCTATTGTAAATAGTGCAACAGTAAACTTAGGGGTGCATATGTCTTTTTGAATAGAGATCTTGTTTTCTTTGGGTAAATTCCTAGGAGTAGAATAACTGGGTCAAATGGTATTTTTATTTTTAGTTTTTTGAGGAACCTCCATATCGCTTTCCACAACGGTTGCACCAATTTACATTCCCACCAACAGTGTAGGAGGGTTCCCATTTCACTTAGAGCCATTTTCATGCTGGGGGTGCAAAAGGGAGAGCCAAGGCCAGCATACTGAACTTCTTGTCACTCAGCTGAGACCTGTGAGGGGACCCCTCACAGCACATCCACCTTCCCCTACTCATCCTTCATCACACCCGATACCAGCTATTGCTCCCAAAGTCACTCACTTACAGATTGTGAAAACACAAATGGCATGCCTTGATATTAGCAAATCAGATTCATAGTCCATATGCTCAGTGATGGTGGAGGAAGTCTTCAAACTTTGCAAAAGGATTATTTCTGTCTCACACTATTCACAAAGTAGATTCCAGAGGAATAACGACTAGACTAAAAAAATGTGAGAAGACAATATAAGTTAAAATTAAATAATTACAAATTGGAGAAGGCTGTTTAAAATGAGACAAAAACTATAAAAGCCATTAAGGAAAACACTGACAAATATACTACATCTGAATTTAAAACTGCCCCTGATAAAAGATCAAAAATAACATAGACAAGCAGCCAAAGCATAGCAAATACTAACATCCAGGATAAAGAACTCTAACATGCCAATAAGAGAAAGATTTTTAAAAGTCCATTAGAAATATGGGCAAAGTATATGATCAGGCATTTATAAAAGGAGAAATAAAAATAAAAATAAAAAAAGGAGAAATACAAAATGTCCAATAAACTTAGGAAAATATGCTCAACATTAGAGAAATGCAATCATAATTAGACAACTGCAAATTAAAACAAACGTAAGATTTATTTTTGCTTGATTCATTAGATTAGCAAAAATTCAAAAGATTGTTAGTATCCAACATTGGAGAGAGGGTATTAAAAAATGAGTTGTCTCATCAGCAATTGGAAGTGCCATAGATTGATCCTGTCCTTTGGAGAGAACTTTGGCAGTTTCTATTAAAATTAACAAAGCCCATCTTTGTCTTAGCAACTCTATTTCCAGATATCCATTATACTAACGAAATAGTCATGACTGCCCACAGAACCACATTACCAGGGTGTTTGCTGAGCATTATTTATAACAGTGAAAAGTTAGAAGCAACCTAATAGTTCACTGATGGGGACTGGATAAATAAAAAATGGCATCCCCATGCTATGGAATACTTAATATGTAGCAGTTAAAAATAATGAGGTAAATCTATATGTATTGATTCAGGAAAAAACCTCCAGGCTATATTTTTAATCAAAAAAGCAAATTGCAGAAAAATAAGAATACTTGTATGCAAAGATAAAAACACACCCCAAAACTGTATTTCTTTATGAGTAATGTGTAGATGCATATAAATTCATAGGGAATGATCTGGAAGGATACCCAGTAAACTGAGCACAGCAGTGACCTCTGGGGAGGATTCTGGAGTTGGAAAGGGTGCTTCATCTATATTTCTTACAGCAAGATGCATTCACGGCTTACTTTTGAAATTTTAAATAAATTTTAGTAAAGATACATTGAATGAACTAATAAAGAGATAAGCAGTGAGACTTACCTGAAACACAAGGCACCAGGAGTTTTATCCATTGAATGAAGAGAGGGGCTGTCTTGTCAACAATTCGACTTTGGCAAATGTCATAAGGATTTGACTTCCATTCCACCCCTGGAATGTTCAAAGTGGGAGCTGTCCAGACTGACTGGCCAGAGTCCCTTGTCTTACAGAGGTAAAGAAAGATGGCTAGGGCCCAAGCCATATATGCAGACAGATCATTAAAGGTTAATGGAAGGCAGAGAGTGGCAAGTTGACCATACTGTTTGACTTGTAATTTGTTGTCTTAGAGACAAGTCCAGAACCAGGAGCCCCTGGCTGCACTCACAGCCCCTGGATTCAGTCCCAGCAATTCATGACAAATACTGAGTGATGGCTGGCAGTAACAGTCACTTACACCATGCAGTCCTGTGCCCTTGATAGGATCACTGCCTTGCGCATTTCCTCATTTATTCCTCATTACAACTCTGAGAGGTAGTTTCTGCTGCTAATCCCATATCACAGGTGAGAAACTGAGGCTTAGAGAGCATAAGACATAGCCAGGTTTCCTCAGGTTGAGCAAGACTCAACCTCAGACATTTTAAATCCTCATTCCCAAATCTTCCTAGTGCATCAAAATCCTGTCTGCTCCCTGCATGTTTTTCTGGGTATGAGCCTGATCCCTGGCCTGACATTTGTTCTGGGAAGACTCCAGAGGCTGATCCCAGGCAAAGGACTTAACTGGGGCCTTGGGATGGTGATGAAGACCGAGAGAGGCAGTATTGCTCAGGCACATCAGATGCACTAGGGCTCCAGCCCCAATTCCTAGCTTAGTCACCTTAGGCAAGTTACTTAACATCTTTGCCTCTGTTTCTTCATCTGTAAAATAGGTATAATGTGAGGATCTCTCTTGGATGGCAAACATACACTAAGATAGTCCTTAGTTTGGTGCCCAGCATATTATGAACTCTCACTAATATGCTGAAGATGCTGATGGTAAATATTTTTGATAAAACGGCCCTCCTGCCCTGGTTAGCATGACTTGAATCTCAGTTTTAATGTACACTTGTACCACAGAAGGAACTATATCAGAGAAAAATGTGACAAAATCATCTGGGAACTGTGGAGGAACACCTGGATTAGGGGTTGGTGAGCCAGCATCCAGCTACAAAAGAGGAGAAGTTGGTCCCCAAACAGGAAAATATCTGACCCAAATATCCTAGGAGTGGGTGGCAGAGAGGCAGTCAGAATTCATTGCAGGGGGAGGAGGGTGGCTGTGGTCAGTGCAAAATGGGGCTAGTGTGCCAAGCAGAGATGCCAGGAGGATGACCTAGGAGATGACGCTGGAGGCTACTTAGGGCCCACAGTGAGGGTCAACCAGATGGGACCCATGAGCCAGAGTGTTTCCTGGACACAGATTTCTATTCCTCTGTACTTCTGTGTCTAAGAGAGAGCCAGGGAGGGATAAAATGGAAGGCCAAGGTATTCCAAATACTGAATCCCCAAAGCAGTCTCCAAGTCTTGGCTGCTGACAGGGAACATCCAGAGTTACCCAAGGTCAGGAAAGGGGCTTTCTAAGATATCAGTTCCATAACATTTTCCAGGCTGTTTCCTGTTGCCTCTCTCTGAACCCTAGTCCCACAGAAGCCTAAGACTAAACAGTTACCAGATTACAGGGGCAGCAGGTGTGGAAGGAAGCTTCCTAACTCAGTCCAGGTGTGGGGCACTCTTCTTCAGCAGCTGCTAAGTCAGCAGCCAGCACAGGAACCACTATTAAGCCTCCTTCACCTTCCACCTCACTCACATCCAACTAATCACTAAGCTGTCTTGTCAGTGGGTTTCAGCCCTGGACAAGTTCACTATGGATTCAATGAGACCAAAGAAATGACAGTAGAACGTTCTTCGGGTGAAAGGGTTTATACCCAACATTATTTCTACAGTAGCAGGTCAATCACTAGAATCCTGTCCACTCAGAGTGAGTCTGCATGCAGCAAGTCAGTCTCTGCCTCTGGGCCTCTCTGCCCCCGCAGCCATCTCAGTCTCTGCTTTGCTGAGGCTGTGCAGCCAGGAGCACTGTGTCACCCAGAGCATTGGGCAGAGTTCTTTATATAGAGTCAAAAACAACTTATTTGCCCACACATGTGTAGTAAGCTAGCCAACCATGGCCAGGTGAGAATCCTGGCCATAGGAACCTTCACTTTATCCACATCAGCCCTCCCTAGAATTACTAACTTCTTTCTCCCTGCTCCCCATCTCCTTATCCCAGGCCACCACCTTTCAGGACCACAGCAACAGCCTCCTGGCTGGTGTCCAATCTTCCAATCCATCTCCCATGTGACTATAAGGATAATCTTTCTAAAATATGTAGCTGAACAAGCTACTCCTCAGTTAAAAAGTCCTTCAGGGGCTACTCATTGCTTTGGGGATCAAGGTCAAGCTCAAAGTCCTTTTCAGGGTTTGTAAGGTCCCTGCTTTCCTCTTGGTCTCATCTCTTACCATTCACCATCTTAAAAACTTCAGGCACTCACCTCAGAACTACTGAACCAGAATCTACATTTTAACAAGAACCTTTGTGATTCTTATGCATGTTGAAGGTTGTGAAGCACAGCTCTAGGTTACTGTCTCAAGAACTCCCTGATAATTATAATCAGCTGGAATATTTATTAAAAAGGCAAATTCCTGGGCCCCATCTTAGCCCCACCGTATCAGAATTTTCAAGGTAGAGGCCTGGGAAGCTATGTATTTGTCTTGCCAATGGGTTTCAGCCCTGGGCAAGTTCACTATGGACTCAATGTGACCAAAGAGATGACAGTAGAATGTTCTTGGGGTGAAAGAGTTTATACCCAACCTTATTTCTAGAGTGGCAGGTCAACCACTAGAATCCCGTCCACTCAGAATGAGTCTGCATGCAGAAGCCATCCTCTGGGCCTCTCTGCCCACACAGCTGTTCTAGTCTGTCCCCTGCTCTCCTGCAGCCTTGCAGCTGTGCCACTAGGCGGCCCAGAGCACTGGGCAGGGCTCTTTATACAGTTAGTAACGATGCATTGCCCAGATGTGTGTAGTGAGCAAACCAACCAGGGCCAGGTGAGAATCCTGGCCACAGGAGCCTTCATTTTATGCACAGAATTTAACAAGCAGCTTGAGTGATTATTTTCAGCAGGGAAGTTTGGGAATTATTATCAGTGGTTCCCAATCTTGGCTGCACATTCGAATCACAAGGGGGAAGCTTTAAAACTATATCAATGATTAGAGATTCTGGTCTGAGGTGCAACCTGGCATCGGGATTTTTCAAATCATCCCCAGGTGATTCCTGTGTGACATCCAGATAGGTTGCTGCCACATCTATCCACTCCTGCTCCACATGTTTGACTCAAGGCTTCCACACTGAGTAGATGGCTTCTGAATGCAGGCACATGGACTAGTGGCAGGGAATCACCTGAGAAGCTCAATGAAGGCTGAGACCAGGGATGCCATAGGTCTAGAACCCTGGCATCTTAGTGGGGAACGGTCTACAGGTCAGAAGGGGAACTTGAAGAGAGAGCCCCCCTATCCTGGGGTTTTCACTGCCACAGAGGGAGGTGGCAGTAGTTTCCAGGGTGTGGTGGCTGGGGTGAGATGAAAGAGAATCTCCTGGATCTAGAGCAGAGCAGGTGCAAGCAGAAGCCTAGAGGCAAACCTGCAGAGCCAGAGTGGATAGGCATGGCGGCTGTGCTGCTCGTTCTCCCCATCTCTAGCCAGTCCTCCTGGGTCTGGGACCTCCCCGTGTGGGCTGCGGCTCTGGGATGCCATCCCACCCTGGCTTGGGACCTGGCTGCCATTTGAGCACATCGTGAGGGGGAGAGCACATCAAGAGGGATGAAGAGGCAGAGGAAGAAGAGGGCTCACTGACCTTCCCCAAAACCTACATTTGAGAGATCACTAAGTGCTGTCTGCCACACAATGGCATTTGATCCTCATAATTACCCCATGAGGGGCTGTGGGGAAGTTGGGGTTCCTATGTCCAGGATCCTCACTGAACTTAAACCACCTGATGATGTAACTGGCCTGTTGCTGGGCTGCCGCTTCCACACCTGTAGGCAATAAGCTATTATTGCGCTATATAGAGAGCTCGGCCTGGTGCTCTGTGAGGAGGCAGAGGTGTTAGTGCTCGACCTACCGCCAGGAGAACAAGCCGGATAAATCCTTTCACCCCAAAGAACCTTTTGCTGTCAATTTCTTTGGTCACATTGAATCCATAGCAAACTTGCCTGGGGCTGAAACCCATTGGTAAGACAGGCTTTTCTTCCTGTTTGCAGGGAGGAAAACAGACTCTGAGAAGTAGCATGCCCAGAGCCACATAGCTGGCTAATAGCAGAGAAAGACTGGACTCTGGATCTTCTGGGATTTTTCCTCTAAGAGTCACAGATAGTAACTACCTTTCCCATTCATGTTTGTGCCCTCACACCCAAGCACAGTCATTTATACTCAGAAGCACCCACACACCACAGGGTTACACTAGCATACTTGCTTAGTGACACACTTTCAAAGATTTACACATTCATACTCACACTGCTGCACTCAGCCTCCCAGGTGCACACCTACACACAGTCACGGACACACACAATTTCAAGTCTCCAGCAGGCATACTCACACAGGCACAAATGCACTCACACTCACCCTCCTAAGCCCCTGGTGGCTTTCTCTCCTTCCTAAAGCTTAAGTCTCTAATCTCAACCTTGACTTCACTAAAAGTGTGTGTTTGAGGTGAGGGGAGTCTAGGCCTCTGAGGAGTGGCTGGGAGGCAGTTGTGTGCTCCCAACAGCCCACCTCTCATTCCTCCACCCGGCACATGGTGGCTCCAACCCCAAGGCACAGGATGCATGGGGCTGGGCAGCAGCCAGGGTTGAAGGAGCAAGAGAGGCGAGAACAGAGATCAGGGTAGAAACCCACCATCATCCAGACCTTGGGCCATCCTGAGCCTGCTCCAAAAACCTTGGGTTCAGAAGTCATATTTAATTGGGTTTGAATCTAGTTCTACAACTTCCTAGTGGTGTGGGTTTGTACAATTTCCATGACTTCTCTAAGTTTCAGCTTCCTTGTCTGTAAAGCAGGGCCATTACACCTACCTGCTCTGCAGGACTGAGATGAAGATCAAACTGCAAACGCATCTGGCGTAACAGTGGAAAGTGTTCAATAACTGGGGGCTGTTTTTTGTTATCTTTGCTGTTATTATCATCAGTATTAAAATGTGGCCAGTGTGGCCCATTGAAGATTGACCAATGGGCAGGTGGGCAGAGGGGGCATTTCTAAGGCAGAGCCGAAGGGCAAGGTTGGGAGTTAAAAGTAGGTTTTAGGATAGAAACCAGCAGTGGATGAGAGGGCTCCTTCTAGCTGGCAGCAGGCATACCTCGAAGGGTTTTTGACCAATGCCCCTGCTGTGTCCCCTGGTTTGGAGGGCAGTTCCTGCCCTGTCAGAGGTAGATGGGTGCTGGGGCCCTTCCCTAGTCTTAGATGCCTGGCATCCCACCCTTCAGAAGCTCAAACAGTAAGCCTGGCCCACCAATCAGCAGTGCCCCACATTCTCCTCTTTATGTCTGTCACCAGCGCCCTGAGCGGGCAACATATCCTGCTTACCATTGCTCCCTGAGAAACTTCACTACATTCTCCAGGAACCCCAGCAAGACTTGGAGGTTCAGGATTTTTTCTCTCAGAAAGTCAGATTGTGAAGCATTTTCTGCTAATTGACTTTGAGATGGGAAACTGAGGCACAGAATCCCAAGCCAGGCCACAGGGAGAGTCCAGCAAAGCTGGAATTTACTTCCATCCCCAGACACTGACCACCAGGTCTGACCAAAAGGTCTCCATGGGCCAGCCTGAGTTGAGGAGTCAAGATTTGCATCTTCTGGAGGTAAGGCCAGATTTAGCCAGTGGTTGGGGGAGGCAAGCCTTTTCCAAGACACTCCTAGGCCTCTCTTAGATGAAACTGAAGGGAAGCTGGAGATGGAGGGGGCAGGCACTAAGACCAAGACTGCCCTCTCTGTGGCCTGGGCCTAGCTGAGGAGGCCAATTACCCACGAGCCCCTGTTCCCCAGGGCCCCATCACTAGGAGCAGCTCTCATCACCTCCAAGCCCAAGTGGATCCCCCATTATCAGCCCCCCTGGCACCAGTCTGTCTGAGCCTCCCCTACCTCTGACGCCCCGGACGTTTGTTTTGGTATCTGTGGTGACTGTGGTCAGAGAATAATTGGGGTTGAAACACCCACTTGGACCCCTGAAGGATAAACAAGCTGGGCTGGGGCAGCCCCGGAACCTATGTGAAGACAGACATGAAGACAGCAGGTCCAGAAAAGCCAGGCAAGCTGGTTGTGGAAGGGCTGGTGGAGAAAGGGAGGGGGAGCAGGTGAAAGGACAGGGAGCAGGCCAATGGTGTGCTGCTTCCAGGGCAGCTGCTGTGGGAGCTAGCGGCCTGATACCAGCTACAATCACCCCCCCACCCCAGCACCCATCTGCAGCTGCCCTCAGGAAACTTCAGGTCCACTGAGGGCTTTCCCCTGGATCCAAGGAAGTCTCTTGTGCAGACTTCAGGAGGCTTGGGGACAGTGCCACTCTCTGAACCCCGTCCCCACAGCCTGCAGATCAGTGGGTCTTCAGGCCTAGGCGTCATGCTTGGAGAAACACTGGTCCTTATTGATGACAACATCTTGACCTTGCCTTCAAGGATCCTAAGAGCAGTAGATAGGGCCCTGCCTGGGGGTAGAAGTTCCCATAAGGATACAAAGGTCCTAGAGCCTGGAAGAGCACTCCAGGATCCCAGCTAATACCTGCAGAGAGCTGTGGGGAGGCGTTTCCAACAAGGATACCTGGACAAGACTGCCAAAGAGACAATGTTCCAGTTGTTTTCCTGGGACTCCAACTGATGCATCTGGGACTGAAGAGGCCTGGCTGTCCTTCAGGGCCTGGTTCTGCCAGCTCCACCCCTGGGGCTCAGGACATTTAAACGGCCGGAGCCCTGCATCTCCTGTAGAAGCAGCTCATTGGCTAGGTGGCAGTGCAATGCCACGCATGCTCTGCACACAATCACATGCAGTGCTCTGCCAGCCTCTGTAGATGGCATAAGGTTGTACCCTCAAGTTGTATGTGGGAGGCTGAGAAGCTTGGAGAAGGGTCAGGCTGGTGTCTCTGGCAAGCCATTGTTGAAGACACAGGCCTTCTGAATCTTAGGACCCTTTTGTGTCTCTGGGCAGCTAACTACTCTGTGTGGATGTGGGAGGAAGGAGGAAGGAGTGGAGGACAGGGGTCCTTGAGTAGAATGAGTCCAAACAACTCACCCGCCTGTGTGTTTGAATGGTCAGTTTGCGGGATCAGTGAGTGCTGCAGATGCTGAGGCCTGGGCTTTGCTGGACTGCCCCTGACCATGTTAGGCCAGTAGCTCCTGTCTTGGCTGCTTCCGAAGGTCTCCCAGACAAGAAAGAAGGATTGGGAAGTGATGGACTTAAGCCTGGGAAGCAGAACCTTGACAGGCTGGGTATACTTCAGGGAAGCTGGGCCAGGGCCATTAAAGTGGGGACTGGACTGCATCCTCCCCCTCTAGGGCCCTACTACCCCCACATACCTTTGGTGCTTCCAACTTTTCTGAGATGATCCCATTTGAGGATGGCATCATGTGTGGTTTGATGTATGAGATGGGTCCCATGTTTTGGTCCTACTGAGCCTAAGAGCTCTTCCCTCAGCAAGACTGCCCCATCTCCACCTAATCCCCATTGCTCTCTGCCCTGGGAGCCCACCTTCTCAAAGGCACTGCCTCACCCAAGTGCTGTCTCCTGCCTCCTGGAGCTGCTGTCCTAGGTTGTAGTTCTGCCATCTGGTGGACATTGCCATAACTACTGTCACCCCCTTCTGAGGCCATGGACTTCTCAGAGGCCTGACCAGAGAGGGCAGCACAGATCCCAGGGTTGGACTGAGCACTGGGCAGGCAGTTCTCCAGGCCCAGCAGGCACACCCACATCCTGCTTCCTGGACAGCAGAACTCCCAGGAGCTGGGCTGAATGGCAGCCGAGGCTCTCACATGTTGAGCAGGATCCTCCAGGTAAAGTCTCCACCCACCCACAGCCTTAGGAAGTCCAGAGACCCCCCAGCAGCCTACTTCTTTGCCTGCTTGTTTCTCCTTCCAGAACTGGAGCAGTGCCCAAGGCCATTACCCTGTTTTCCTAGAGCTGAAAAGTTCCTGTGTATGTTCTTGGGTGGGGCACATATTTGAGAATGCAGGACGCTCTCCTTACCTTCCCTTCAGTCCCTTTGCCTGGGACTCCGTGCCTGGGCCAGACCAGTGAACTCCCACAGCCCCTGCGGAGCTGCCATGGGAACCCAGAGGTCTGAGGATCCACCTTGCAGGAGGAAGGAGGGAAGCCCTCATTACAGGATTCCTCCACTTGCCCAGGCAATGGTGAATAATTTATGTACAAGGCGGAGAAGACAATAAATCAGCAGCAATGATTAACATGAGCTATTTTACGTGTGAGAAAGATCTATGGCAGGAGGCTGCCAGGTTGCTGGTGATTAATGCTGCTGTTTGCCCTGGATTCTGGGCCTTTATATTCAATTATGGCCCTGGAGTGTGTATGGGGTCCCTTGGATGGCATGGGGGAGACAGGGAGCCCAGGGAGGGAATAGCTGATGCCTAGAACCAAGGTTGAGGTGACAACAGGTGTCAGCTTAGCCATGTGGGCACGTTTACTGATGAGAAAGTTAAGTTAGTGGGATGGTGTAATGGTCATCTCTAAATACTAGTCAAGGGGGTGCCCTGAGAAGCACACGCAGATGAAAGGAGGCATCTTTGGGAGAGTCTGACCCTTTCAGAGTCGAATGTTGGGTTTCTGAGCTCCCCTTACCAGCCCCCTGTGCTGCCACCTCCACCATCTAGGAGTGGGATAACATCAGCCAGGCAGCTTGGGTAGGGGTGGCGATTAATGTTGAAAAAACTTCCCTGTGGCAACGGAGCCAGGGAGCCAGGTCCTGCCTTCACGTCCTAGGCAGAGATGGTGGCAGTGGGGCAGGCTGGAGAAGAAGGCTCTGGGTGCCCTCCTCCCAGCTGACCCAGGAAGCCCTGGGAGGCCCCCTCCCTGGATTCCCACACTTGGGCCTCTCATCCTCAGCCAGCTCCAGCTGGGCCCTGTCAGTGCTCGGGGTTCCAAAGACCCGTGGCGGCTTTGGGGTTAAATGATTTCCCCCAGCCCAGCCCCTCCCAGCCCGGGCTCCTGTCAGCTCCGTCCTCCTCCTCCTCCTCCTCCTCTTCAGTGACCTCTGTGCAGTGTGGCCTTCTCTCCCCTCAGAATCCAAAGGTTGTCGTGAGGCACAGGGTGGGTGTGGAGTTGATTCTGGGAGCTGGGCTGACAGCTGAGGGCCTGCTCTAAGTCATTCTACCAGCAGGCCAATGTTGTAGAATTCCAGTCCTGGGTCAGGAGGAGGTGCTGAAAGAATAGAAGGGAACATCATCACCCTGATGAGGGGGTGGGATGGGGCACCAGAGGAGGCTGCCAGGGGCAGGCCAGCATTTCTGGCTGGAGAGAGTCTCTGGTTCATCTCTGCTAAGCTCCCACCTCTTGCACATCCTGAAGCTTCATGGGAAACAGTTCTAAGTCATAATTCCGTCTCCAGGCATGAGCCTGGGTGGGTATGAAATTCTGCATGTCTGCCTCTCTCAGTCTCTGGTGAGTGTCTGGTTCTGAGGCTGTGTGTGTGTGTGTCTGAGCACCAGTTGTGTTTTTATGAGCCCCTGTGTGGTGAGTATGTGAACAAACTGAAACTGTCCCCAACCTTGGGCCCCACTCACAGCCCATCATTCCCTGACAAGAGTCTTCCTCAGCTCCTAATCCTCTGTTTGCCTGACTCAGACCCTGGACTCCTTGGGACTCCATTAATGAGACCTGGCCACCCCAGGACAAGCCCTAAATTAACCCCACTGCTGACCCCAACATGGACACCTGTAATTAGGCAAGGAGTGGCTGAGGCAGAGAAGGCCCTGGGGCTCAGTGGGGTGAGGACAAAGCTGCGGTGGGACAGGGAGCCTAATGCCCAGGAATGCTCTAAAAGCTGTACGCGGCTCCAGGGCCCGACGCCTGGCTCATCTCTAATACCTCTCAAAGCCTCCCAGACGGGGCTCCAGGGAGATTACCCCGTAGTGGGGCCCTGGAGGTGGGCAGGACTGCTCTGTGGGCCCACCCTGCTGGCTCTGGGCTGGGGAAGGGGAACGCTGCCCCCAGGGCCTTAGAGCCCAGCAGCCAGCCACAAGGTCTTTAGCCGCCCGAAGCCATGCCCATGACAGCAGCTGCCCAGAGAAAAGCCAAGTCCAGGCTGGCTGGCGCCCACGCCCCAGAGCCAGCCCCTCCCTCCCTGAAACTTGTTTTGTTGGCTCTGCGCAGCATGTCCGGTAGCTCCATCTGCATTAACCCCTGACCCCTACTGTAACTCTTCCTGGGCTCTGACAACTGCGTGTACTCAGTGGTGGCTTCCTCAGGCAAAGCGGGGAGGGCACTACCTTTCCCCTCCTGCCCAGCCTGTCACAGGGATAGCTGCACTCTCCTTGGTACACCAGATCCCAGGAGCTGTGGGCAGAACTGTCGCCCATGAGTGTGCAATGGAGTGCAACTGATGTGGCTGCGGCTAAGGGCCTGGGAGGTGTACCTTCGTGGCTTGGGAGTGGGAGGCAACTGGGACACTCATCTCAAGAGGTATCTGGCAGTTTCTATCAAAAATGTTTAATGAACCTATCATTTGACCTGGCAAATTCCACTTCCAAGAATTTGTCTATATGTGTCTTGCCCGTGTGCTAAGAGGAATAGATCAAGAAATATTTACTGTAGCATTGTAGAGCTAAAAACTAGAAACATTGTAGTTGTCCACTAAGAGGACTAGCTAAAGAATGGGATAGTATGCAGCCAATCCAAAGGACAATCTGCACGTTCCCATCAAGAATGATCTTCAAAATATAGGGATAGCAAGGTGTAGAACAGAGTATAGAATATGCCTCTATTTGGGGTGGGGGGGAAGAAGGGAAATAGGCAAACAAGTATTCACATAACTTTGAAAATATCTTTTTTTAAAATTTATTTTAGTATCATTAATCTACAGTTACATGAGGAACATTATGTTTACTAGACTCCCCCATCACCAAGTCCCCCCCACAAACCCAATTACAGTCACTGTCCATCAGCATAGTAAGATGCTGCAGAATCCCTACTTGTCTTCTCTGTGTTGCACAGCCCTCCCCGTGCCCCACCAACATTATATATGCTAATCGTAATGCCCCCTTTCTTCCCCCCTTATCCATCCCTTCCCACCCATCCTCCCCAGTCCCTTTCCCTTTGGTAACTGTTAGTCCATTTTTGGGTTCTGTGTTTCTGCAGCTGTTTTGTTCCTTCAGTTTTTTCTTTGTTCTTATACTCCACAGATGAGTGAAATATTTGCTACTTGTCTTTCTCCGTGTGGCTTATTTCACTGAGCATAATACCCTCTAGCTCCATCCATGTTGTTGCAAATGGTAGGATTTGTTTTCTTCTTATGGCTGAATAATATTCCATTGTGTATATGTACCGCATCTTCTCTATCCATTCATCTACTGATGGACACTTAGGTTGCTTCCATTTCTTGGCTATTGTAAATACTGCAGTGATAAACATAGGGGTGCATCTGTCTTTTTCAAACTGGGCTGCTGCATTCTGAGGGTAAATTCCTAGAAGTGGAATTCCTGGGTCAAACAGTATTTCTATTTTGAGCTTTTTGAGGAAACTCCATACTGCTTTCCACAGCGGTTGAACTAGTTTACATTCCCACTAGCAGTGTAGGAGGGTTCCCCTTTCTCCATAGAAAATATCTTTAAAAAAACCTTTAAGACACCCCTGTGTCTTCCAGGGAGGGGCAGAGGCCAGGGGAGGTCTGTTTTCCCAAAAGGGCAGACAGTTGTTCTCCCTTCTTTCCCTGGAAGGTAACAGGGTGGGCCTGGGGGACATCTGGCTCCTAGATCACACTTCCTGCCTCCATCTCTCTCCTCATTCTTTTACCCTCTTATGTAACTTCATTGCCCCTTGGCTTCCCTTCTCTACCTGCTGAACCTTTCTGTCTTGAGCACCTCTTCTCTATTCTATTCTGCTTCTTCCTACACAAAAAAAAAAAACAAAAAAAAAAACCTTTAAGAAATAACAGTGGCAGCCCTTGGGAAGAGGAACTGAGGGCAGCAGTGGGAGGGAGACAACATGTTTACTATTTAAATAATTCTTTCTGTGATTTTTTGAACTTTGTACATATTTTACCTTTCAATAGTAAATTTATTATAAATACAAAAATAAATGAAATACATATGTCCTGGGGCCCAGCTATTTAATTTCCAGAAATCTAGCCTGCAGAAATACACAAGTATACAAAGATTATACAGGGTTGTCTCTTATTTAAATGTCATATACTGGAAACAACTTAAATGCTAATCACTAGGCAATGGTT